GAGTGCTGTCTTCTTTGCTACAAATGGGCCCCCATGCACCTCTGCTCTCCTGCGCTCCCTCTGCAATTTAGTAGGCTGGCCTCTTTTCAGCCTCCATGTTACCTTTTTTTTTTTTTTGGAGACAGAGTCCAGGCTGGAGTGCAATTGGGTGATCTCAGCTCATTGTAACCTCCACCTCCGGGTTCAAGCGATTCTCCTGCCTCAGCCTCCCAAGTAGCTGGTTGATTAAAAGTCTTACCAAGGACATATAACATCCATGTAGTCAACACTTAAATAGCTCGTCAGTTTCTGGCTACAAGTGACTCTGTTATCTTCTCTCCTCCCTCAGCCTCTGGCACCCTGAGTAGTCATCCCTCCCATTCCGAGCTCTTTCCACTGACCTCAGAAGAGGGCTGGCTCAAATAACACGCTTGTCAAAACACCTAGGTAAGCACATCTGTGGGAGACACCATATAAATAAGATATGGGATTACAGGCGCCCACCATCCTACCCGGCTAATTTTTGTATTTTTAGTAGAAATGGGGTTTTATCATGGTGGCCAGGTTGGTCTCAAACTCCGGACCTCAGGTGATCCACCTGTCTTGGCCTCCCATAGTGCTGGGATTACAGGTGTGAGCCAATGCGCCAGGGCTTGCTATGTTACCTCCTTAAACAGACCTCTGCTGACCACCTATTAGTCCCATTCAAGTACACTTCTGTTCTCCTCATGCCAATTACTTCAAGTTGTAATGATGCAGTTATGCATTTATTTGTTTACTTGTTTATTCCCTGACTCCACTCCCATTACACTGCTAACTCTTTTTTTTTTTTTTTTTTTTTGGAGACAGAGTCTTACTCTGCTGCCCAGGCTGGAGTGCAATGGTGCCATCCCAGCTCACTGCAACCTCCACCTCCCGGGTTCAAGTGATTCTCCTGCCTCAGCCTCCTGAGTAGCTGGGATTACAGGCGCACACCACCATACCCAGCTAATTTTTGTATCTTTAGTAGAGACAGGGTTTCACCATTTTGGTCAGGCTGGTCTTGAACTCCTGACCTCGAGATCTACCCACCTCGGCCTTCCAGAGTGATGGGATTATAGGAGTGAGCCACCGCGCATGACCTACGCTGCTAACTCTATTAGGGCAAGAACCACATCTATTTTGCTCACTGATGAATATCCATCCAGCAACTTAGTACAGTGCTGGCACAAAGAGGGCACTTATTTTGTATTTTTAGTAGCGATGGGGTTTCTCCATTTTGGTCATGCTGGTCTTAAGCTCTCAATCTCAGGTGATCCACACCCCCTCAGCCTCCCAAAGTGCTGGGATTTGAGCCACCGCACCCAGCCCTAAAGTACTTTCTTCTTATTTTTTTTTAAGACAGGGTTTCACCATGTTGGTTGGGCTTGAACTCCGACCTCAGGTGATCCGCCCGCCTTGGCCTCCAAAGTGCTTGGATTACAGGCATGAGCCACCATGCCCGGCCTGGTTCTGAATTCCTAAATTCAAGCAATCCCTCCACCTCAGCCTCCCAAAGTGCTTGGATTACAGGCATGAGCCACCACACCCGGCCAGTACTTTCTTATTTTGAGACAGGCTCTGGCTCTGTCGCCCAGGCTGGAGTGCAGTGGCACACTATCAGCTCACTGCAACCTTCACATCCCGGGCTCAAGCCATCCTCCCACCTCAGCCTCCCAAATAGCTGGAACTACCAGCATGCACCACCAGACTCAGCTAATTCTCATATTTTTTGTAGAGATGGGGTTTCACCATGCTGCTCAGGCTGGTATCAAACTCCTGGGCTCAAGTGATCCACCTGTCTCAGCCTCCCAAAGTGCTGGCCTCTGTGTCCAACCAAATAAAGTACTTTCTACTGTACCTGGCACTGCTGAGTACTCAGTCAATGAATGAGTGAAATGGAGCTAGAATTATGAAAATCTGTGGGCCAGGCACAATGACTCATGCCTGTAATCCCAGCATTTTGGGAGGCTAAGGTGGGCGGGTCATTTGAGGTCAGGAGTCCAAGACCAGCCTGGCCAACACGTTAAAAACCCCGTCTCGAGGCCGGGCGCGGTGGCTCACGCCTGTAATCCCAGCACTTTGGGAGGCCGAGGCGGGTGGATCACGAGGTCAACATGGTGAAACCCCGTCTCTACTAAAACTACAAAAAAATTAGCTGGGCATGGTGGCGCTGCCTGTAATCCCAGCTACTCAGGAGGCTGAGGCAGGAGAATTGCCTGAACCCAGGAGGCGGAGGTTGCGGTGAGCCAAGATCGCGCCATTGCACTCCAGCCTGGGTAACAAGAGCAAAACTCCGTCTCCAAAACAACAACAACAACAACAACAACAACAACAACAACAAACCCCATCTCTACTAAAACATACAAAAATTAGCCAGGTGTGGTAGTGCCTGCCTGTAATCCCAGCTACTTGGGAGGCTGAAGTGGGAGAACTGCTTGAACCCAGGAGGCGAAGGTTGCAGAGAGCTGAGATTGTGCTACCACACTTCAGCCTGGGCAACAGAGCGAGACTCCATCTCAAAAAAAAAAAAAAAAAAAAAGAGAGAAAATTTGTGGGTTTTCATGTCAGACAAACTCCAGAGGAAATAAATCATACTTTTTGATATTTTAATAAACTTCCAGGCAAGGTCTTTGAGACTGAATCTTTATGAAGCTTGTTCTGAGAGTACCTTGTGCCCTCCCAAGGCTGCATGGCCATCTTTCAAACTAAGTAGCAGTCACCTTCAGCACCCCAGATCTTCCTTGACCAGGGACACACATCCTGACACTTAACCCCTGCCACATATCCCCTCCTGGCTCAATGTGGGCAGTGCCCTGCTCCTCAGTAAGTGCCCCCAGCCTCTAAGCGTGGCAGACAGACCCCACCCTGTATTTCCAACCTGAGGGAGGGACAGATAGGTGTGGCAGCCAGTGAATATGAGAATAATTGATTCCTGGCAGATTGTGTCCACTTTCAGAAGAATCCTGCCCAATCTCGCTTGACTATTTTCTTTTTTTTTTTTCCATACATATTCTGCTTATGTACGTTTTTTTTTGTTTGTTTGTTTTGTTTTTGAGACAGGGCCTTACTCTGACACCCAGGCTGAAGTGCAGTGGGGCAATCATAGCTCACCGTAGTCTCGATCTCCTGGGCTCAAACAATCCTTCTGCATCAGCCTCTAAAACAGCTAGAAATACAGATGTGTGCCACTATTCCCAGCTAATGTTTTATTTTTTTATAGAGACCAGATTTTACCATGTTACTCAGGCTGGTCTTGAACTCCTGGGCTCAGGTGGTCCTCCCACCTCAGCCTCCCAAAGTGCTGGGATTATAGGCGTGAGCTACTGTGCCTGGCCTCTTTTCTTTTTCATGAATTGAGACAGGGTCTTGCTCTGTGGCCCAGGCTGGAGTGGAATGGCATGATCATAGCTCACTATAGCCTGACCTCCCAGGCTCAAGAGATCCTCCTGTCTCAGCCTCCTGAGTAGCTGGGACTGCATGCATGTACCACCATACTCAGCTTGATCATTTTTTCTTTCTTCCCCCCACCCCAAGACGGAGTCTTGCTCTGTCACCCAGGCTGGAGTGCAGTGGCGCAATCTCGGCTCACTGCAACCTCCGCCTCCTAAGTTCAAGCAATTCTCCTGCCTCAGCCTCCTGAGTAGCTGGGATTACAGGCATGCACCTCCATGCCTGGTTAATTTTTAAAATTTCTAGTAGAGATGGGGTTTTGCCATGTTGGCCAGGCTGGTCTCAAACTCCTGGCCTCAAGTGATCTGCCTGCCTCTGCCTTCCAAAGTGCTGAGATTACTGGTGTGAGCCTCCATGCTTAGCCTGGGGCTGGCTCTTGTTCATGTCTGTGTCCAAAATGATTAGTACATGGTCTGCTGCATAGGACGTGCCCAATGTATATTTATTCAAGAAAGATTAAGAAGTATTTGAATGAACAAAGAAAAAAAATCCAGGGGCTGGGAGCGGTGGCTCATGCCTATAATACCAGCACTTTGGGAGGCAGAGGCGGGCAGATTACAAGGTCAGGAGTTCGAGACCAGGCTGGCCAACATAGTAAAACCCTGTCTCCACCAAAAAATACAAAAATTAGCTGTGTGTGGTGGCGTGTGCCTGTAATCCTAACTACTGGGGAGGCTGAGGCAGGAGAATTGCTTGAACCCAGGAGGCAGAAGTTGCTTTGGGCCAAGATCACACAACTGCACTCCAGCCTGTGCGACAGAGCGAGACTCCACCTGGGAAGAAAAAAAGAAAGAAAGAAAAAAAAGCCAGTCTCTCCTTTAGCCAACCTCTCTCCCCTAACCTTTTTGGCTGGATACTCTTCTTTTAATCTAAACGCTTTTATCATAATATGAGCCCATTTAAATCACTACATCCTCAATGAAGCTTACTTCCTTCACAAGAACCTTTTCTACCGTATCATAAAAGTAGAGACAAATGGGATAAACTGCTTACTCCTTTTAACAATCCTGAGAGATACGGATTTCCAACCCCATTTTACAGATGAGAACACTAAAGCTCAGAAAGCTGAGGTCACTGGTCTGTGGTTCTACTGGGATTCAAACTCAAGCCTGTCTGAAGATAGAATCCCCATATAAGGATGAAACCATACCCCCTTCCTCCAATGAAGCTGGCTTTGCAGACTCTTTTCATTTGAGAGAGTCTTGCTCTGTGGCCCAGGCTGGAATGCAGTCTCCTGCCTCAGGCGCACACCACCATGCCCAGCTAATTTTTATATTTTTAGTAGATATGGGCTTTTGCTATGTTGGCCAGGCTGGTCTCAAACTCCTGACCTCAGCTGATCTACCCACCTCGGCCACCAAAACTGCTGGGATTACAGGCATGAGCCACCACGCCCAGCAGTGCAGATTCTTATTTTTACTCCTCTGCCTGCTAGAGACACAGCTTAACATGCAGGTGCAGAACACGGGCCTGAATGGGGCTGAGTGTTATCCATGGACCAACTCCTGTTCAACGGCCCCAAGAGAGGAGTTTAGAAAGCCAATACTCACAGGGTTCCTCCTGTCGAGGCAAAGTGACTTGATGTTTCTTAACACCATCAAACAGGAGTTCCGCACCGCCTCTGCAAAGGAGGACCAGAGAAAAAGCCAGGTGAGCTCCTACAAATAGAAGAGGTAGTGGAAACAGAAAACTGAGGATAGGGCTGGTAATGAAGCCTAAGAGAAGCAGAGACTAAGGTGCAGGAACATCTTGGGTACCAGTGACCAATTCTTTTTTTTCCCCTTTCGTTCTCAGAGACAGAGTCTTGCTCTGTCACCTATGCTGGAATGCAGTAGTGCAATCATAGCTCACTGTAACCTTGAACTCCTGGGTTCAAGAGACTTTCCTGTTCCACTTCCCAAGTAGCTAGGACTACAGGTGCATGCCACCATATCAGGCTAATTTTTATATTTATATTTGTATTTTATTTGTTTTGAGAGGGAGTCTCACTCTGTTGCCCAGGCTGGAGTGCAGTCGTGTGATCTCAGCTCACTGCACCCTCCGCCTCCCAGGTTCAAGCAATTCTTGTGCCTCAGTCTCCCAAGTAGCTGGGACTACAGAAGTGTGCCACCACGCTGGCTAAGTTTTGTATTTTTTTCTTTCTTTTTTTTTTTTGGGGGGGGGGGGGGGGGTTCACCCTTGTTACCCAGGCTGGAGTGCAACGGCGCGGTCTTGGCTCACTGCAACCTCCGCCTCCTGGGTTCAGGCAATTCTCCTGCCTCAGCCTCCTGAGTAGCTGGGATTACAGGCACGTGCCACCACGCCCAGCTGATTTTTTGTATTTTTAGTAGAGATGGGGTTTCACCGTGTTGACCAGGATGGTCTCGATCTCTTGACCTCGTGATCCACCCGCCTCGGTCTCCCAAAGTGCTGGGATTACAGGCTTGAGCCACCGCGCCCGGCCCAAGTTTTGTATTTTTAGTAGAAGTGGGGTTTCACTGTGTTGGCCAGGCTGGTCTCAAACTCGACCTCAGGTGATCAGGAGACCCACCTTGGCCTCCCAAAGTGCTGGGGTTACAGGCATGAGCCACCATGCCCAGCCCATATCAGGTTAATTTTTAAGTTTTTTGTAGAGATGGAGTCTTGCTTTGCTGCCCAGGCTAATCTCAAACTCCTGGCCTAAAGTAATCCTCCCACTTCAGCCTCCCAAAGCACTGAGATTACAGGCATAAGCCGCTCTGCCCGGCCCCAACGACCAATTCCTAAATATGACTTCCAGTGTGGGTAAAGTAGGATATATTTTTTACTAATAATCAACTACTGGCTAGGTGTGGTGGCTCACACCTATAATCCTAGCACTTTGGGAGGCGGAGGCGAGATGACTGCTTGAGGCCAGGAGTTGAGATGAGCCTCAGTGAAGTAGAGCCTTGTAACATAGCGAGACCCTGCCTGTATGTAGTTATTTTTTTTTGGCACCCCACCAATTATTGTTTATTTATTTATTTAGAGACGGGGTTTCACTTTGTCACCCAGCCTGGAGTGCAGAGGCATGATCATGGCTCACTGCAGCCTTGACCTCCTAGGCTCAAGCAATCCTTGCGCATCAGACCCCCAGGCAGCTGGGACTACAGGTGCATGCCATCACACCCAGCTAATTTTGTAATTTTTGTAGAGATGGGATTCACCACATTGCTCAGGCTGGTCTCGAATTCCTGAGCTCAAGGGATCTGCGTGCCTTGGCCTTCCAAAGTGTTAAAATCAGAAGCATGAGTCACTGTGCCCAGCCTATTTTTATTTTATTTATTTATTATTATTATTATTTTTGAGACGGAGTTTCACTCTTGTTACCCAGACTGGAGTGCAAATGGTACGATCTCGGCTCACCGCAACCTCCGCCTCCTGGGTTCAAGCAATTCTCCTGCCTCAGCCTCCCGAGTAGCTGGGCATGCACCACCATGCCCAGCTAATTTTTGTATTTTTAGGAGAGACGGGGTTTCACCATGTTGACCAGGATGGTCTCGATCTCTTGAACTCGTGATCCACCTGCCTCAGCCTCCCAAAGTGCTGGGATTACAGGCGTCAGCCACAGTGCCCAGCATATTTATTTATTTATTTTTTGAGACAAGGTCTCACTCTGTCGCCCAAGCTGGAGTGCAGTGGTGTGATCCTAGCTTGCTGCAACCTTAACCCCTTGGGTTCAAGCAATCCTCCCACATCAGCCCCCAAGTAGCTGAGACCACAAGCACATGTCACCACACCTGCCTAATTTAATTTTTGTTTTTTGTAGAGCCTGGGATGTCCCTATGTTGTCCAGGCTGGTCTTGAACTCCTGGGCTCAAGCAATCCTTCTGTCTCAGCCTCCCAAAGTGCTGGGATTATAGGTGTAGGTCACCAAGCCCAGCCATAACTCAGTCTTAAGCTTCAGTTTTTCCATCTGGAAAAGCATTGAGGAGCCACTGTGAGGCTCTCTGTAGACAATGCACACCTAGGGGTTTTCTCTGGCCAGATTGAAACGCTCCTGCCCATGCCACCTGCTGCTGACCTGGTGGGCACATCACAGTGCTGGAGGCTGAGAGAGTCCATGGGACCTGGCATCAACTAAGAACAACTGCTCACATCACCTCACCATTTATATAAGATGTTCCTCATCTCATTTCATCCTCAGGGAATCCCAGGGAAGAAGGGAGGAGGCAGGCATTACTAACTCCCTTTGATAGAAAAGCAGACTCACGCCTAGAGAGGTTAACCAACTAACTTGTCCAAGGCTGTACAGGAAGGAGCCAAAACTATCATTTGAATCTAACTGATTTCTTCTTAGCACCAGCAGCCTTGTCAGAAAAAAAACAGGACTTCCCAAAGGTCAGAAAGCCTCTTGAGGGCAGAGTTTGGTTCATTTCTGTGTCCCAGCACCTGGCCAAGGGAAGGCGGGGATTGCAGAGATACTTGGAGCCAAGTACAGAAGCTGAGGCTTCTGAGGTGAGCGCCAGGACTCTTTCAGTGCCCCACACTCCTTCTCCCTCTGGGTCTCCCGATTCATGTCTCAGACTTCTTGTGGATCTTAACTGAAAAGGCCTTACCAGACTTTTGAAGGATGCAATGTCTTCCACCCCACCACCCTTTCCCAATTTCAGGGAACAGAGATGTCCTGAGGCAGCCCACTGGGAGGCAAAGGCAAGGCAAGCATTGTCATGGGGAAAACATGGGGCGACTGTCATCTAAACAAGGTCACGCTTTGTTGATGCAGAAATGTGGAGGGGGAGAGGAGGCCCATCTGTGGCCGCGCACAGGGCCATTTCAGCTGCAAGCCCGCACAGAGCCTCCATTTATCCCCTTCCAAGAGCCTCGTTTTCTCCTGGGTGGGGGCTGGCACATGCAGCAGCTGGGGTGGGGGAGGGTGACAGGCAAGGGGCTCAGGAGTTGGGGGTCAGAGAAGAGGGATGAGAACTGAAGGCACTGGGACTCAGGCAAACAACCAATACTGGCCAAACCTGGTGGTGCCAGGCTCAGAGGCCAAGGCTGTTTTTCCCTTTACAAGCGGATGAAGGGAGAACCAGTCTCGCGCAGACAGTGACCTGCCACTGCTGAATTCACTGGCCCTCAAGGGAGGGGTTGGCGTTTCTGCCGTCAGCACATCTGGAGTGGGGGAAGGTGCATGCCCAGCCTCAAGAGTGATTCAGGGAGGCAGACAAGGGGCCTGTTCTAGCCCAAGAGAGACCCAAGGCCAGACCCTCTTACATCTGATAAGATCTGCTATTCAAACTCAACTCACATTATCTCCACTTTCCTTCCACCTTCCAATTCTTAGTGGATGTGTATGTTGATACCAGTGACAGGTACAGATATTTTCAAAACCACCTTCACCTTTTCTAATCTTCATATTTTAATCTTCTGTGTATACACATACACACATATACATACATACATGTATACATATGGTTTATTTACTTCCCCTCCACCTGCTGGGCTGCAAACTCTGCCTAAACCAGGGTTTGGCACATGGGAGACACTCAACAAATATCTGCCAAAAGAATGAAAATGCCCATTTCTCCCAGTTCTTCTCTGACCTCAATGACATTCCCTCCTTTTGCCAATACCTCCCCAACTTGGGAAGGAGGAAAAGGAGTGGGAAGAAGAGAATTTCATATCTGGGCCTTTACAACATGGACCACAGGGACACAAAACACAACTGTATTACATACTTTGAATCACGCCTGACCTGAGAAAATGCTCTGCTGAGAATAGTTCAGGGGCAAGATAAAGGATGACAGACCTGATCAGTGACAAGAAGGAAGGCGGCAGGGGCCTTCCAGAGGGTCTCTGGAGGAGTTGGTGGGGCCAAGAGGAGTGTATCTGCTCAGGAGGGAGACAAAATCCTAACCCAGACCCTTCCAGGACTGAAGTAGGAATGCGGCCACTCAGGGATGAAAGGGAGAAAATGATGGGCATCTAGCCTTTGCAAAGTTGTGCTGGTTCCACATACAGGGTGAATCATATCTGCTAAGAGACATAGGAAATGAAAGAGAGGTCAGGGGCAAAAACGCCCATCAAGGCAAGGACAAAGAGAGAAGGGACCTGGGTTGAGCATCACCTTGGGCATTTCTGCTTCCCAAGAAGCTACATTTTCATGGAATGCTGTGCTGTGGATGGAGGTGGTAGAAGCTGGGTGGGTGGTGGAAGAATGTTGTCCTGCCTTGCCAGGGGTTATTATTGCTCTTGGAGGTAAGGGAGACTGAAGCTTAAGATGATTGGGTCAGAAAAAGGGCAACTGTGCTGGTGTGTAAGCTCTGGAGAACAAGGGCCGGGTCTTCCTCACATGACTTCCCCCTTGTGCTAGCACAGTACCTGGCAGACAGACGTAATATGTCTGACTCATAACAATGAAAGGCAAGTTGTCAGTAGTAAATCTTTTTTTTTTTTTTTTTTTCCTCTTTTGGTACAGATGAAGTCTCCCTATGTTGCCCAGGCTGGTTTCGACTTCTTGGGCTCAAGCAGTCCTCCTGCCTCAGCTCCCAAAGTGCTGGAATTACCCTCCGTGCCTGGCCTAGTTAAACCTTAACACAGCAGTCTGTGGCTACTCTTTTTCCAGCTCACTGAGGCCTGTCAAGGAAACAGGGATCCTCCTAGAACCTCAGGCTTTGGGGAGTGTAGCTGGGCCAAGAGTCAGTGAGGCAAAACAGTGAGGAGTCCAGACCAATACAGTTCTAATTTGATCCAAGCAGCCAGACAATATCAATTAAAATGCACTTAGTCATGAGACTTACCCCCCTTCTAAGGGGCAGAAATGCTGAATGCTGTAGGGCACGGACAGACTTCTATTTATCTTTGTATCCCTCAGTGTCTGGCTTGCTGCCTGGCACATGGTAGGCACTCAATAAATGGCTGGTGAATGAACTACCCAATGAAGGAAAAACATGAAAGAAACAGGAGGCATCCAATGAGAAGAAAGGCACTGGGCAGAGGTTTTAGATTCTCATCCCCAACTTCTTCTTTTACATAAACCTTGACTTGTTTATCTACACACACACACACACACACACACACACACACACACACACACAGACAGACACCCTATTCCCTCTTTTCATATGATTCTAGAAAGTACACCATCCATCTTTCAAGGCCTTTGTTTCTTTGCCTTCTCTCTAAGCTCTGCAGTGTCTCTCAGCTTTGAAATCATGACACACCTGTTTGTAGGAGGAATCAAACAATGCTTTGAGTAGACTTCCTCCCTGCTCTGTTTCTTCAGTTATTGGTGTGTGTTCCAATTTCTGCATTTTTCATCTTGTGTATACTATACTGTCCGTGTTAGTTTCCTTCAGCGTGATTTCTTATTTGTCCCTGTATCTCCACCTGACTCTAGTTCTGCAGAAGGAACACAGCAAGTTTGCTGACTGTCCTGCAGGAGGCTCAGGTCTGTTTAACATCCCCAAGTCTTAGGAAAGAAAAAGAAAAAAGTCCCGTCCTGGCTACTACATCCCACGAGAAACAAGATCTTAAGAACACTAAAAAGAAATTGCTGTTCAAAGAATGAAATCAGGGAGTGGAGGGTGGTCCTTCTAGGTTCTAGGAGCTCAGATGCCAAACAGATGGGGTCGGTCCGAGACAGGATTGGAAAAGACGATAGGGAGGCTGCCTGCTAACCGTCACAAATTCGACTCCTGCGGAGCACAGGGCATCAAGGGGTGCACAGAGCGCATCTTCCTCCCAATGTGCGCCTCTATTTCCGGACATACGGCCTCATCGCCAGGAGAGACTGGCCTCTCAGACTCTCCTAGGCGGGTGGCGTAGTTCACAGCAGACACCAGAACACCCAGTGACTTGGCCATGTCAGGCCCCAAGGCAGAGGGAAGGGAATTCCGGGCCCGACGACTTCAATCCATGCCCACGGCGCCCCAGCTCTGTAACTCACCCGAACTCCACCTCCACTGACAAGGGCGCTGCCATGTTGAGGAAGCCGAGCTCGCAGGAAACTCCCCTCAACTTCCGGCGCGCCCGCAAATTTCCGGGCGTCGTCGGGCGCCGCGGACGGAAGAGGCGGTGCCCAGGAATCCAGCTTCATCTGCTGTTGAAGGAAGTCACAGAGGGGAGGGGAAGAGGATGGGGCGGCGGAGGGAAGGTCTTCGGCGCTGTTGGGGTTATGAATCGATATCCCACCGTCTTTCACCGACGGGGCTCACAGACCCAGGGTGGGAAGCGCCTTGTACGGGATCACCAGCAGGCGAAGGAGAGCCCCCAGCATCTTTGCGACGTGACTGTGAGCCACGTTACTGCTTATCTTGCATGAGTCAGAATCTCTTCAGTCTACACACCGCTTGGGCGAACCCATTCACTCGTCTGGCTTGAATTATAAGTGACTCCCAGATCTTTATTTCCGACTCAGAACCTCTCCTAAGCGGGCGACTCGCTGTCCAGCCGCCCCCTTTGCCGTCGGTTTGGATGTCACTCGTTCAACAGCTGTTCATTGCGCCTTCCTGCGCCAGGCATTTTGATCGGTGCTATGGACGTAGTGGTAAAGGGGATGGGCGAGGTTCTTGTCTTTAGGGCACTCACAGTCTGAGGGGAGACTCTCTGTAATCAAATAAGCATACTAAGACATGTACAAACAAATAAAGGAACTGAAGTTATAGGAACTTCAAAAAGAAAAGTGAGTAGGCTGGACTTGCTGAGCTCTAAAGCCTGAGCAGAATTAACTAGGTGGCTGTGAGGGGAGAGAAACCTCTAGGTGCATTCCAGTGAGGAGGACAAAAAGCCCAGAGGCTCTGGGTGAGAACATGCTGTGAAACATCGAGAGAAAGATGGAGGTTAGGGAGCCTTTCACGCATCTAGAGATGGGGCTGCAAAGGTGGGCAGGGATCTACCTCTGCCTTGTAAGCAGGTAAACATTTCAGTCTCAAGGAGCAGTGGGAGACTACTGAAGGGTTTTGGGAGAGAGTGGTATTTTAGAATTGTGTTTTAAAATATAATTTCTAGCTGCAGCGTGCGGAATGGTTTGATGGGAATAAGGAAGGAGACAGAGACCACTGGAACCTGCTGCAAAAGCCCAGGGCAGAAATGGAATGAAGTTGGCCATGCACGGTGGCTCATGCCTGTAATCCCAGCACTTGGTGGGGATGAGACAGGTGGATCACATGAGGTCAGGAGTTCAAGACCAGTCTGGCCAACATGGTGAAACCCCCGTCTCTACTAAAAATACAAAAATTAGCCAGGCATAGTGGCAGGTGCCTGTAATCTCAGCTACTCAGGAGGCAGAGGTGGGAGACTCGCTTGAACCCAGGAAGCAGAGGCTGCAGTTAGCTGAGATTGCACCAATACACTCCAGCCTGAGGGACAGAGTGAGACTCTGTCTTTAAAAAAGAAAGAAAGAAATGGAATGAAGTAGATGTCCTTTGGGTATCTAAAGACCAACACTTCCAAAATTGAACTCAGCATTGGTAGAGGATGATGGTATAGCCTAGTGGTTAGGGGCAGAATGATGCAATAGTTAAGATACAAGAGTTCAGGTGTGGTGGCTCACACCTGTAATCCCAACGCTTTGGGAGGCCAAGGCAAGAGGACTGCTTATGAGGCTAGGAGTTTTGAAACCAGGCTGGGCAACACAGCAACAAATGTTCCTTAAAAAATAAGCCAGGCGGCCGGGCGCGGTGGCTCAAGCCTGTAATCCCAGCACTTTGGGAGGCCGAGGCGGGAGGATCATGAGGTCAAGAGATCGAGACCATCCTGGTCAACATGGTGAAACCCCGTCTCTACTAAAACTACAAAAAATTAGCTGGGCATGGTGGCGCGTGCCTGTAGTCCCAGCTACTGAGGAGGCTGAGGCAGAATTGCCTGAACCCAGGAGGCGGTGGTTGCGGTGAGCCGAGATCGCGCCATTGCACTCCAGCCTGGGTAACAAGAGTGAAACTCCGTCTCAAAAAAAAAAAAGTAGCTGAAAAAAAAAAAAGCCAGGCATGGTGGAGTGTGCCTGCCCAGCTACTCAGGAGGCTGAGAAGAAGGGGAGGATCATCGGAGCCTGGAGGTCAAGGCTGCAGTGAGCCATGATCACACTGTTGCACTCAGCCTGGGTGACAGAGTGAGACTCTGGAGTGCAATGGCATGATCACAGCTCACTGTAATCTTGAACTCCTGGACTCAAGGGATCCTCCTGCCTCAGCCTCCAGAGTAGCTATGACCACAGGCACTGATAAGGTCCTTCCTTCCTTCTAGTCCACCATGCCCAGCTAATTTTTTTCTTTTTTTTTTTTTTGGGACGGAGTTTCGCTCTTGTTACCCAGGCTGGAGTGCAATGGCGTGATCTCGGCTCACCGCAACCTCCGCCTCCTGGGTTCAGGCAATTCTCCTGCCTCAGCCTCCTGAGTAGCTGGGATTACAGGCATGCACCACCATGCCCAGCTAATTTTTTGTAGTTTTAGTAGAGACGGGGTTTCACCATGTTGACCAGGTTGGTATCGATCTCTTGACCTCGTGATCCACCCGCCTCGGCCTCCCAAAGTGCTGGGATTACAGGCTTGAGCCACCGCGCCTGGCCCTTTTTTTTTTGTTATATACAGGGTTTCACCATGTTGGTCAGGCTAGTCTTGAACTCCTGACCTCAGGTGATCCACCCCCCCGCCTTGGCCTCCAAAGTGCGTGGATTACAGGCGTGAGCCACCATGCCCAGCCGCAGCTAATTTTTAAATCTTTTTGTAGAGACTGGGTCTCACCATGTTGCCCAGGCTACACTCAAACTCCTGGGCTCAAGCAATCTGCCTGTCTTGGCCTCTCAAAGTGCTGAGATTACAGGTGTGAGGCACCACGTTTGGCCAAAATATTTTTTATTTCTTTTTTTCTTTGCCAAAATATTTTTAATTAAAACAAATTTTTGGCCGGGCATGGTGGCTCATGCTTGTTGTCCCAGCACTTTGGGAGGCCGAAGCGGGTGGGTCACAAGGTCAGGAGTTCAAGACCAGCCTGGCCAATATGGTGAAACCCCGTCTCTACTAAAAATACAAAACTTAGCTGGGCATAGTGGCATGCGCCTGTAATCCAAGCTGCTAGGGAGGCTGAGGAAGAACTGCTTGAACCCGGGAGGTGGAGGTTGCAGTGAGCTGAGATCGCGCTACTGCACTCCAGCCTAGATGACAGAGCAAGACTCCATCTCAAAAAAAAAAAAATTTTTTTTTGGTCAAGATCTAGGAGTTCAACTACCAGCTTTATATCCAGGTCCTGGCTGGGCACAGTGGCTCATGCCTGTAATCCCAGCACTTTGGGAGTCCACGATGGATGGATTGTTTGAGGCCAGGAATTTAAGACCAGCCTGGCCAACATGATGAAACCCCATCTCTACCAAAAGTACAAAAATTAGCCAGGCATGGTGGCGTGCACCTGTAGTCCCAGTTACTCGGGAGGCTGAGGCACGAGAACTGCTTGAACCTGGGAGTTGGAGGTTGCAGTGAGCTGAGATTGCACCACTGCACTCCAGCCTGGGTGACAGAGCAAGACTCTGTCTCAAAACAAAATTAAAAATTAAAAAACATATACAGTTCCTACTACATCCTAGCTGTGTCTTTCGTTAAGCCTCTTAACATCTTTGTGCCTTAGTTCTCTCATCTGTAAAATGAGGATAGTAACATCCCAACCCCATAGAGTTGTAGTGAGGACTGAATATGTTTTTTTTTTTCTGAGACGGAGTGTCGCTCTGTCGCCAGGCTGGAGTGCAGTGGCACGATCTTGGCTCACTGCAACCTCCACCTCCTGGGTTCAAGGGATTCTCCTGCCTCAGCCTCCCAAGTAGCTGGGACTACAGGCATGTGCCACCATGCCCAGCTAATTTTTATATTTTTAGTAGAGATGGAGTTTCACCATGTTAACCAGGGTGGTCTCGATATGGTGACCTCGTGATCCACCTGCCTCGAACTCCCAAAGTGCTGGGATTACAGGTGTGAGCCACGACACCCGGCCTAGGACTGAATAAGTTCTTGGCACAGTGCCTCTTTCCTAAAACGGGTTCTCTCAGCCAGGCGCAGTGGCTTACATTTGTAATGTGAGCACTTTGGAGGCCGAGGCAGGTGAATCACCTGAGGTCAGGAGTTCAAGACCAGCCTGGCCAACGTGGTGAAACTCATTTCTGCTAAAAATACAAAAATTAGCTGGGTGTGGTGGTGCACACCTGTAATCCCAGCTACTCAGGAGGCTGAGGCAGGAGAACTACTTGAACCTGGGAGGCTGGAGTGCAGGCGGCGACAGAGCGAGACTGTCTCAAAACAAACCAACAAACAACACAAAACAGGTTCTCTCTGTGTTCCCCATCTCAGGAATACCACTACCACCCACCAAAACACCCGAATTATCCTTAATTTTCCCTCTCTCATATCCAAACAGTCACCAAATTTGGATGAGTCTCCTTTTTAATCTAGCATGCCTCCCTAACCACACAGCTCACCTCACCGGCACCTGCTTCCTCTCTGGCCTGCCTGTCTCCCACCTCCTCTGGCCTTGGCTTCATCATACAAATCAATGGACAGCTTTGAGCACCTTCAATATGCCAGGCCCTGTTCCTATAAAACGAAGACAATGACACTGCCCTGGTCCTCGAAAAGCAGAGGACTCCTGTGATATGCAGAAACGAGGCACTCTCACCATACCATGTGACCCACCCCTCTGTGGAACTCAGTTTCCCTAGTCTGTGAAGAGGTTTGGGACCTTATGATTTTCTAAGGTCTTTTCTGCAAACATAGTCTAAGATTCTTCTACCGTACTGTAAGGACTTCTGCTCCTTCTGGGCAGAAACTTTTCCTGATTCATCTTTGATCATAGCAGGTAGTGAGGAACTCTGTACTCCGCAGGGGTTTGGCCAGAGCTTGCTGAATGAATAAATGAATGAGTGTTATCAGTCCCCTGCTCAAAGTCACATAATGGCTTCCCTTTACCAACAAGATAAGGGCCTACCTAGAAGCCACTCAGAGCCCTTCACAGCCTCTGATTCCAACCCACCTTAGTATCTTCTGACCTGGAAACTGCCTCCGAAAACTGGAATGGAGCATTTGGGGGCATTTGAAGAGCTTCATCTACCTGACAAACTTTCACTCGGAACCTATTACACACCAGGGCCAGTGTTGCTGCTGGGAACACAATGGTGAACAAAACCTGTGGGTAGGCCAGGTGTGGTGGCTCAAGCCTATACTCTGAGCACTTTGGGAGGCTGAGGCAGGTGGATTACTTGAGGTCAGGAGTTCGAGACCAGCCTGGACAGCACAGTGAAACCCCATCTCTACTAAAAATACAAAAAAATTAGCCGGGCATGGTGGCACGCACCTGTGGTCCTAGCTATTCAGGAGGCTGAGGTGGAAGAACCACTTGAACCCAGGAGGCAGAGGTTGCAGTGAGCCGAGATTGCGCCACTGCACTCCAGCCTGGTGACAGAGCAAGACTCCGACTCCATCTCAAAAATAAAAAATAAAAAAATACAAATACAAATACAAATTAGCCAGAGCAGTGGCTCATGCCTGTAATCCCAGCACTTTGGGAGGCTGAGGTGGGTGGATTACTTCAGGTCAGGAGTTCGGGACCAGCCTGGACAACATAGTGAAACCCCATCTCTACTAAAAATAAAAAATTAGGCAGGCTTGGTGGCACATGCCTGTGATCCCAGCTACTTAGGAGGCCAAGGTAGGAGAATCGCTTGAACTCAGGAGGTGGAGGTTGCAGTGAGCTGAGATTGTGTCACTGCACTCCAGCCTGGGCGACAGAGCCAGGCTCCATCTCAAAAAAACAAAACAAAATGAAAGCCGGGCGCGGTGGCGCACGCCTATAATCCCAGCACTTTGGGAGCCCGAGGCGGGTGGATCACGAGGTCAAGAGATCGAGACCATCCTGGTCAACATGGTGAAACCCCGTCTCTACTAAAACTACAAAAAATT